TAGGGGAGGGGGGAGGGCACCCCCTGATCCATTCCAGCTAGCCATGGGTCCCTCAAATCCTGGAGGTTCAACGTGATGGAGATGGCAGGCGAGGGTCTGAGCTATTTACACTATTTCTGAAAGCCCAAGAAATAAGCTCCTGTCTTGGTGACTGGGTCGCAGCGGAAGAGCAAGGTCACGTTTCTCTTCCGGCCTGGCTCAGGACCCACGCGGGCCAACTCTGCTTCTTTGCTTGGCTTTTAATTTCGGATTTTTTTAAAAGCAGGAGAGGGAATTGATATGCATACGTGTTGTTTGCTTATATGGTCTTTGAAAACAGGGGTCTCTGAGGAGACTAACAGGTAGCCCTTGGATACAGGAAAAACTTGGGTCGGTTTTATCTCTTGGGGAGGGCAGGCATTTATCGAAAATCTGGTTCTTAATTCCACCTTCCCAAAGGGTTTATTATACTTGCAATATGCAGTGTATCTGGATAAAGGGTGGGACAAAGAAGGTCTTGACTACCTGTGAGACAGTCCACCTTGTTGGGACGATACCTAGATTTTGCCTGAGAACTGTAATAGCTCCACCAACAAAGCTGCTGACACAACACCTTGGCTGTCTCACAGGGGGGAGTGTTTGAGCTGGGGCTGGACAGGAGTGGGGGCTCCTCAGCAGGAAAATGTGAGCACTCGAGGCACGGGGAGGTCCAGGTGGGGAAATACTGGAGCTGGGGTCAGGGTGGGGTCTTCAGAGGGGAGCGCCCAGGCCCAGGTATGAGAGGGGCAAAGTAAATGGAGGGTTATTGTGTGCGGCAGACTTTGCACACCATATATGCCATGAAGTGGGGACTCTTACTACCCTTACACTGCAGAAGAAGAAACTGAGGCCTGGTCTGTGTGACGTATGCAAGAAAGTGGGGTTGAACCTGGCTAGGGGTCTTGGGGGTACTGACTTGAGAGGAGGAAGGGCCAGACCTGCGTGGCCAACTGACCACGAGGTTGAAAGGAAACTGTAAGATGACTGACGTTTCCAGCGTTGGTGACCACGGGGCTGCTACTGTCATGGGAGCTGGGTGAGCGAAGCTGATGGGAACTTGCACAGGTTGAAAGTGGGGGCTTTGCCCAGCCAGCGTGGCTCAGCGGTTGAGCATCGACCTAGGATCCAGGAGATCACGGTTCGATTCCCCATCAGGGCACATGCCTGGGTTGCGGGCTCGACTCCCAGTGGGGGGTGTGCAGGAGGCAGCTGATCAATGGCTCTCTCATCATTGATGTTTCTCTCTCTCACTCTTTCTCCCTTCCTCTCTCTGAAATCAATAAAGAGATATTAAAAAAAGAAGAAGAAAAAAAAAGAAAGTGGGGGTTTTGGGGCTATTGGGGTGGAGCAGTCCTGACGCTAGCTTTGGTGAAACAGGAGGAGGAGGAAGGGATGGCCTTTCAGAGGGATTCCCAGGTCCCAGGCTTCCAGCTTGGGGGGCCAGTGGGGTCCTGCACTCACGCTGGGACCCAAAGAAGCAGCAGAGACTCAGCTGTGCTGGAATCAAGCAGAGTGACAGTGCAGGGAAAGGCTACAAACATGCTCTACCCCTCTCATCCGTCTCTCTCGCAAGAAGGAAGCTTATCTTAAGTGGATCACAGGCTGCCCACAAACCCCTCCTGTGTCTGACTTGTCACCCAGTGAATTTGAAATCTCAGAAGTGGGAAACTTCGTAATCAATCTCATTAACTAGCAATTACCAAGTCCTAAGACTACCCCTCAGAATGGGACGTTGTTCTATCTTGGTTACAGAGACACATATTAGGGTCATCTGCCATCCCCCCTCCTTTGGTGGCATTACTGAAACTTAGTTCAAGGGGGAAAGGAGATTCCCAGCCTCACTGCTGGCCCAAGTCCAGACTGAGGGGCATTAGAGTAGGCGCCCCTTGAGACTTTACTGCCACCTGCTGGAAAACAGCTGTAATACATGTAAAATTGACACTGGCGCTGCCTTTATGCTGTGTCAACCCGCCAAACCTTGCGTGTCAGCCTTGAGGGCCCCTTGTTCCTGGGCAACAGGGCTTGCAGGCGATGGCTTCTCCCCTCCTGTCCTCTCCGTCACAGCCAGATCCGATGCCGGTTCTTCATGCGGAGGAGTGGCCGCTGCCCCTTCAAGGCCGACTGCATCTACCTGCACCAGCTCCCGGATGGGGCCCCGTCCTCGCATCCTCCGGGCCCTGAGAGTGCACAGCCGGCCTCTGGGAGTGAGGTGGGAACAGCAGGGATAGGGGCGCAGGAGAGGCTCCTGGCCATGGTGTATAACAAACGTCTGTGACAAATGTAAAACCTGCTTGATGTCTTTGACGGTAATGGAGCCCACTTAAGTGCAGCACCTTTGTGCTCTGTACAACCTGCCCAATCTTACGCGTGAGCCCAGCTCCCTTGTTCCTGAATCTAGGGTTGAAGCAGACAGCTTCTCACTGATTTTTCTCTCTCTCCCCTCCCAGGTGCTGGGCCCAGCAGCGTGGCTAGAGGACGAACTGTTCACGGATTATAACCTGGCAGCGGCCTTCTGGGGTTTAGAACTCCTGCTGGATCCCAACAGTTCTTACCATGGTCTCCAGTAGCCAGGATCAACGTGTGGGGGATGGGGCTGAGGGGCAGGATTTGCTAGGTGGTAGGTCTTTTTCCCTTTTGGGGTTTGATCAGGGGTGGAGGTAGCCCCTTCTCCACCTCCATGAGCATGAGTGGAGGGCTCTGGGGAAAGGGGAAGGGTTCTCACTCTCTTACTAGGGACTTGGATTTTAACTTTACTCTTTTGTAGAAGAATTCTGAAAGGAAACCAATAAAATGAACCTAAGCTATCGCTCCTGGTGTTGGAAGAGTGTCTGCTCATAGCCCAAGTACCCCACCCCCACTGCCACTAAAGGTGGCTTCTGCATATCACCCATCACTTAGCCTCTGGAAAACTTCACTTAACACTCATAACAGAATGAGTGGAAAGGGCAAATAACATGTTAGTATTATGAAAATAGTAATAATGTCATGGATCCCATAAAAGTGTGCAGGGTTCGTGAATCATGCTTAGAACTTTCCTCCCTGCTCTCCTTGCACTGGCGAGAATGAAGACCTTGGTGGGCACAAACTCAGAGCCACCATGAAGTAAAGCTGGTAGTTGAGGATGGGCAAGGCATTAAAGGCTGTTTAGCATTCTTGGCTCTGCCCACCACTTGTCAGGGCCTGCCCCAGCAACAGCTGGTCATTTGAAGGCTGAAAATATCTCCTATAAAGTTAAAATTGCTAACCTGAGATGGAAATGCCTGGAAAAAATTTCTTTGCTGCTATTTTGGCCTTTGAGAAGCAGGTATTACTTAAGAAGTATTTCTTAGCCTTTTCCAACAGCTCCCTTGAAATTATTTGGGGGAAAATTAAAATTTTGGCTCCAATGGAAATCAGATCCAGCCCAAAATATTCCTATGGCTTCCCATAGTATTCAAAGGAAAAGCCAAGGTCCTCTCTATGACCTCAAAACCTCATAAGCCCTGGCCAGCATGGCTTAGTTGGTTGGAGTATCGTCCAGTGCACCAAACGGTGGTGGGTTTGATTCCTGGTCAGGGCACATACCCAGGTTGTGGGGCCCATCCCTGGTCGGGACACATATTGATGTTTCTTTTTCTCTCTCCCTTCCTCTAAGATCAGATAAATAAATAATAAATAATAAATAAATAATAAATAAATAAATAAATAAATAAATAAATAAATAAATAAATAAATAAATAAAATGCTTTTTGCCCTGGCATATTGTGGCTCAGCTGGTTGGAGCATTGTCCAGTGCACCAAAAGGTGGCAGGTTTGATTGCTGGCCAGGACACATACCCTGATTTTAGGTTCTATCTCCGGTTGGGTTGTGTAAGGGAGACACAACCAATTGATGTTTCTCTCATCTATAAAGTTAAAATTGCTAACCTGAGATGGAAGTGCCTGGAAATGTTTCAAGTCAATGTTTCTCTCCCTCTCCCTTCCTCTCTCTCTAAAATCAAAGGAAAACATGTCCTCGGGTGAGGAGTAACAAAAAACCGAAAAACAAATAAATGATGGGTTCGGTCCTGAAGTTCAACAGGACCCCTGACATCCATCCTGCGCCCTGTTTCCCAAAGCAGTGGCGGGAGGTGAGGGGCAGCAGCCGAGGACCC